GCCCATTGACACCACGATAGCCGTTCTTCAAGTTATTGGAATATATTTAATTTTTTTCTTTTTCTTATTCCTATCACTGTAAATCCCACTCGTAATATCAAAAAGTAATGGGCGGTTCTGCCAGATATCAACGAGTTCGTCCTCCCTCGTTCTCTCCCATACCATGGGCGCTGCCATATTTGATCACGTGCTTCAAATCATGCATTTGATTGGTTAATCCAAAAACTGTTGCCTGAATCCGTCGCCAGTGCAGCGCAGACGTAGCGATTGTTCAGCGACTTGGCAAGAAATTAATATCAAACATGTTTGATATTCCAGCGACGAGCTGTCCAAAATCGTAATGTGTGGATTGTGCACTACGGGATTATTATGTTAAAGATATATGAGTAAACTATTCACTGAAGTGAAAATCGTGGAATTTCTCCCGAATGAGCGAAAGTTTAATAGCCTAGTTCGCTGTTAACGTGCACGTGCAAGGATCGTCCGAGTTACATGCATTTTTCGCATTATTGTAATATCGCAGTCAGGTGGAGCACACGCGGAAGTTTGAAATCAGGAAATAAACTGGATCGCGCATCATTATAATTGCATAAAAATTTGCATGATATAAAGACGCATTGAAGACGTGTTTTATTGCCTAGAATATAAGAAAGAACACTATTTCGTACCAATAGCTAAATTTATTGCAGAGAAGGTGCACATTTATGTCGATTCTCATGCAGGGTTGAGACATCTTCCACAAAGCAGGCGAGTTTTAACAGAATTGATGAAAATCTAAAACGGAAACAATGACGAACAACAAAATAAGACAGATAACAATCACGCAGAATGTAACAACATCACATTTTATTCGATGTTGGTATGCTTACTAAAACCTACACTTAAATTATTACTTTTTTACATTTAGAAAGCTGAAAATAGCTGGGAAAAACTCGTGGACATGTGGAGAAGCGTCGACACGGTGCGTTCAAGGTAACTGGAGACAGTATATGGCAATTCGACATCGTGAATCCGTCCGTACATCGGACGGCGAGACGAATTCTCTCGGCACGTCCGCATCGTTTTCTGCGCGCCAATAAATAATAACACAACCCAAAAACTATTTAAAAAAACAACAAACAGAAAGCATTGAACGCTTGCTCAATTGGAGCCGAGTTCAATAGTTTTCCGAGAGTAATAACCAGCCAAAATAATTCTGAACTCTGCGTATACTCGGGAATGACAGACCAAGTGGAAACGAACACAAATTGCGTTGTGTTGCGCGTGAGATAATATTACTAAGGACTTCATTGCGAAGCACTGCTTTGTTTCCAATAAACTTTTACAAATCATTTCGTACCCCTTCCCCTACGTTACAATACTATCAACATCACTAGCATCTCATATAACAGTCTGTACAGAAGAAAAGAAAAACTGCTACTCTTAATTGTACGGATTTATATAAATATAAATTAATAATACTGTACAGATCAACTCCACCGTCGGATATTAGTGTATATAACAACTGTACGATACCCTTACTCTCCAATTGGTTTAACACTCAGATATAAAGGGCGTACACAAAACCATGCTAAAGCGTTGGTGTGTCACGTCTGCTTGCTGGGAGAGAGAGCAAACTAGCTAGCCATGTGCTCACGACTGGAGTTTAACCCGTGCAGTGTGCAGAGGTGACACTACATGCTTGTTGCCTACAACTGTTCTCTTCCTACGCGCCGACGAAAGAAAACTGGGGAAGAATTTCATGCATGGAGGAGACAACAAGTTTAGTCTTATATTTCTTTCCTTTTCGAACTTCGGCGACGTGGCACGATAACAACGATAACGTATTCACATGCGGGACACGATATTTTCATTCGTCGAGTAGATGACGCTCTCGCTGAGGCGTCAAATCCCCGTAAAACATCAATACCATCAACCAACAGCGAGCGCGGGGGCGTGTTACCGTTTGATTGTGTCTCCCTCTCGTGGTAATATTTAGAGACGCGAGCAAGTCATCGTTGAAGGTACAGCAGAATGGAGAAAAGATGCGGGCGGCTCACGCAGCACAAAATATAGTTTCTACCTGACGTGCGTTGCATACGCAATTCAAATTTGAGACGCGCATTTGGCAAAAACCCGAACTTCGAGTGAATACGAGATTCAAAGGTAAATTCCGATGAGAATCAGATTTCGGAATCGTTGATTTCAACACCGCATGCAGTGCTTAGGTTACACACGCAGAGAGAGAGAGAGAGAGAGAGAGAGAGAGAGAGAGAGAGAGAGAGAGAGAGAGAGAGAGAGAGAGAGAGAGAGAGAGAGAGAGAGAGAGAGAGAGAGAGAGAGAGAGAGAGAGAGAGAGAGAGAGAGAGAGAGAGAGAGAGAGAGAGAGAGAGAGAGAGAGAGAGAGAGAGAGAGAGAGAGAGAGAGA